TCAAAACTATATAGGTATTGATTTTATTCAACACATGAAAAATATGTATATTTCAGATTTTATGGCTTTTATTAAACCATAAGCCACATAGCAACGGACAGATGATTATTAGGGGTAATTATTTTTTCATAACGGCTAAATTTAATACTATGTTACGCCACTAGGGAGAAAAGTAGGACGTTGCAACCCGCGTGGTGTTGTATATACTCTCCTCCCGTTACGCGTATACTATTTTTCATCTTATCTTTATCTGAATGAATGTACCTTAAATTTTAAAATGTATCATGACATAGACTTTTAACGTTTAAAAACAATATAGCTAGAAGTTTTATGCAAGCGTAATAAATTAATAAGTCATTGGATCGGGAGGCAATTGGCCAATTTCGTCCCTGGAAGTAGGATCGAAATATGAAATTTTGATCAAAAAAATATTCATATGTGTTACAAGTAGTACAATGTTTTCCATTGTAAAGAAACTGGCTTGTCGGGGAAATATTACGAGCACATGTGAAGACCGCCTAAATGCACTTAGATAGCGCTCTCTCGCTCTCTCGATCGCGGTCTCTTCGGCGAAACCAGTCGGTTTTTTAAATTTGTATATTAACAATTTACAATTTATAATAAAAATAGTAAAACTACTACACTGTTTACTACTCAAAAATAAAGCTGGAGTTTCACCATGTGACAACACTTACACATACACATGACAACACGTAGACATGCATTTGTTATATCATTGGAGTTTTGACAATTTAATTTTAATATTCATTGAATAAAATTATTAAATTCCAAAACATTGAATTCGCTATTTCACCATATTACGACGCAACGTATATCTCTCTGGGCGATATATATCTCACAAAAAAAGTAAAACGTAATGCTAAATGTCACGGGTTAATGGCGCGTTACAAAACATGCTCTTAAGTTATAAATGACAACACACTTTTCTAAACAAATGGGAAACGCTCTGAGTAAGTGCTTTAATCATAACAGAAATCCTCCACCTTAAAAACTGACTTGGAGAGTGAGGTAGAAAAATCCTACGTAGTCTACTCTAAGAAAGCAGGCCATAGCACAGACTAAAGCTGCTCTGGTTGAGCGTCTGTCACGCTGCTGCAGCGCGTACGGCCAGACGCCCACGTGTCTACGTGGATTATATAAAAATAATAGTTTTATAACCTCATCGTCGTCATCATCAATAATCCCTTCTCAAGTCCACTGCTAAACATTGGCATCTTCTAAGGATTGCCACAAAACACGGTCCTGACCTTTCTGCATCTATTGGTTTCCTGCATGTGCGACCAAGCCGTTACCCCATCTAGTGGGAAAGGGTTCCCACTAGATGGGGTGCATTTACTTACCTATACGACTGCTTGATACTTGAGAATCTTTCTTCCCTACTAATTCATCATTCATTCTTTTGGGATGGAAGTTTTCTTTAAATGTATATAGGACCAAATATTACTTAAAATTTGTATACCATACCATAACAAAAGTATAACTTTTTTAAATAAAAGAATAGTTTTAAATAAGTTAAAAAAGCGTTTCTAGGAAATAGGCGAACGAATAAAAGTAAATTTTTATAATATGTGGTGGAGCCACATTGCAGCTTCCGATCGAGAAAGGACCGCGCTCTCACAGATATGTATTTCTGGTGATTGTAGAGAACGAGAAAGCTTTACAGCTTAGTTCGGGATGACAATGCATCTGCATTTTGTTTCTCAATCAGGGATGGATGTAGATGTCTATGGGCCACAGCATCCACTAACCATGTGGTGGACTTTGTGCTGGTTTGTCATCCAATATAAATATAATGGTTGATGTGTAAAAACTGTATATGCGCATATAACATATAGTCACATAATATTATAGTTAAATACTGCTTTATGAATACGGAAACTACGTAAACGGACAACAGATTTTACTGAAAGCTACTTCCGTTTACTTTCAAATTCCGCGTAAAGAAGTAGTACTTCAAAGTTATACTGTCAAATTGATATCCAATTTCTTGATGTCGTTTCAAAACAGTCTTTTATCTTTTGAGATTCTAGCAAACTGGATTAATGGGAAACTCGATGCGTATGAAAATTGAGACAAGAACCAATTTACTTCTTTGGCTCTTTTCAAGATCCGTAATGGTTATCATTATATACGGTTATATTATTATATTATTAGATTCGACCATGATGCGGACAAAATTAGGGCGCAGTTATTTTAATTTTATAGGGAAATTTGTTGAATTATTTAAACAATGAATTGAAAATTGCATTTGAGTAGGGAATTAGAGGGCTGCATCCCAGTTATTGGTCGTTATGATCGACACACACAGTCAGTTCAACTGATCAGCTTAACTGATCATGCACTTTGAAAAATCCGTGGATTGCCGTCGGTTAAAAATTTCAACTTAAGGTTTACACTCACGGTCAGTTTTTGGATATACATCAGTTCAACTGATCGGTTTAACTGACCGTGTGTGTCGAGCATTAGTCTTATGAATATCTCGATCTTTATGTCAATGAAAACACGTAGTGAAAAAACTTCTATGAACTGTTTATATAACGAAGATTATCTGTGCTAATTTACATTTTTTTTGTGAAATTGGAGAATTAGTTTTTAAGGAGATACTTAGCAGTAAAAATTCTCGGAGTTAAGGATAAGAGGGCTATGCTACGTTACGCCTTAATTACACATTGATGATGCTTTTAGAGGGAATTTTAAGATATTTAAATAATTTACAAATGATGAATGACGTTTGAAAATGCGTTGTGTATCATTGAAGTAATATGTACTTACGTACTAGAACAGCTATTACAAACAAAAAATGTGCGCTACTCCGTGTTCGCACGGTTGGTTTTTTTTATCATAGAATTAACATAAGTAGGATGATCCATAGGTAATTTTAGATTGTATTGTTAAATAGGTAAATTGTATCGAGAACAATATTTAAATTTTGTCATTTATTTTGTATATTATATTTGCTTATTTAATATAATATTACATAATGTTATATCACAATTACAATTTAATGGTATTTTTATCTGAATATTTTAAAAGGTATCTATGTCAAATATAAAAAAAAAACATACCAAATGTATGTTTAACAAAACTTATTAATATAACATTTAATTTACAAATATATTTAATTTAATTAGAATAAGAGTCGTTCATAAATGCTGGGCACGCGAGAGTTAAAAATAGACGAATTTATACCACTTTGACTTTGATGTGGAAACCTAAAAATAAAATAAAATAATAATAAGCAGATTTAAATATGAAAAATTTAGCCTAATTATAACAACTTAATATATATGTTTCTACAAAAAAAATGTGTGTAATAATATATTCGTCCTATACCTACCTACCTACCTATAATTTCATAATCTATATTCCATGACACGAGATGGCGTCTTAGGAATAATTTGTTTTATTATTAATCTGTAATACTTTTCTTATTAATCAATAACAGTATCTTATTAACCGATGAAAAGTAATTCCTTGGTTTTTACTGACATTTCTTGAATTATTTGTGCAATATATAAGTACACACCACGGCACATTTTTATCAAGAGATTTTTTTTAATCAACACAACACGTGACAACTCTACAAGCCCCTAGCGAGTGTCAGATTTAAGTGCGGTGTATGCACCTCAGTTGAGTGGAACAAAGTAGCTGAATACAGTGTCGCCTCTAGTACGTAGTACATAATAGCTCAATGTTGTGTAACTAAAGTCGTTGGGCACATAACTGGTTTCGGACACGGTCTGCGAACTCTTGTTTTTCCGATTAAAAATGTAGTTAGTCGACAAAAACGCTAGGTTTTGCATTAATCCTAGCCAGGAAAGTGTCCGGTTTCTAGTAATTCTTGTCTGTTGAATAAAACTATTATTTACGGATTTTATCGCGTTTAATTACTTTAATTTATTTTTATTATTATCCCGACGTTTCGGGTGCTTTACAGCACCCATGGTCACGGGGGGGGACTGAGATGTTTGACGTCCCAATGTCATTGTTAGCCCGGCTACCTTCAGTTTTTGAATATTAATTTTTGGCCCGATTTACGCAAAACGAACTTACAGTATCTTGAAGTCTTGCAGTGGTATGCTTGGGTTTGGGTTTAATTTTGTTAATTATAGGATCCCAAGCAGATGGCAGCACCCAACCATCTTCTCTATTGAAATTAGGATGTTTTTTAATTTCAATAGCCTCACGTACCATCCTTGGTAGGAATCGGTGTTCATTTGCGAGGACTTGTGGTTTATCAAATCTGATGTAATGATGGGGACGATCCTGAACATGTTCACAGACTGCAGACTTCCCGGAGCGTCGGTGCTTCACGTCAGCTATATGTTCTTTCACGCGGGTTTTTATGGATCTTTTTGTTTGACCTATGTAAGAGAGACCACATTCACAATCTAACTTGTACACTCCTGCATCTTGTAGAGGGATATTACACTTGACGGATGGTAAAAATTGACTAATCTTCTTCGGCGGCTTGTAGTATGTTTTAATGAGAAGTCGCTCCAAGATGTAGAACGTTATAGTCTGTGACTCTTATACAACTGACTGATGCATAACTAGCTAAATTCAGTAAAAGCTTCATTGTAATGGGACACAACTACTACTTAACATCCAATTAGAAAGGAATCGATGAGATTTACTTCTAAAGTGAATTTATAATAGTTCCGTTGTCTAAGGAAATAGAATTTAATTATACTTGAAAAGTGCAATTCTTCCGAGACGTGAAGAATAAAAACTAAAATGGCCAACGTTGAAGATCTTTTAATTTATAAGATACGTATTTGAAAGTAGAACGTCAATCATTGCTGCAGCCACTGAATTAAGTACATCGGTCACTAGATAAGTTTTGTAATACTTAGTTTTTATTTTTAAAATTTTCAAAGTAATTTCTATTATAGATTATAAACTAAGTCATGCCTAAATATCAAGCTTATAATCTTAAATATATCGTTCGGTATGTGATCGTAGACAAGACAACTCACCTCTTCTATCGCATCTAACTGCACATCCGCGAGTCCTCCATTCGGGAGGTCAAGCGGTGTCTCCTTCGCTTGAGCAGCCGTTAAGGCGGAGTGCCTCGCTGCCGTCGCTCCAGCACCACCAGCCGTCGGCCTCGTGGCCTCTAGCAGGACTTTGAGGGAAGCGATCGCGTGCAGCTGCGTCGCCTTCTCATCCACTTTACCTGTGTACAAAAACAGAACCATTTTATGTTAGTACAGTTGGACTCCATCTTCAAAAACAGAAATGAAAAGCGATTATGCTAACTGTCAGGTCCTTACAGTAAGACAACTGTTTATATTAACGATCATTCAGAAACAACATAGCTTATTGCTATACAATCGAACGAACTTAAATAAACGCAGGAAATTTTCCGTAGATACAACTAATTTTAAAACAACTTTTATAAGAAAATTCTTTGCATTTTTGGGACCACACTTATATAACAAACTAAATAAAACATTAGACATTTACCACCTTAATAAAATAAATTGTAAAAAAACTGTGTTTTTATATAACTGTCATCCGTAAAACCACCCGTATAAAATCATAAGACACACACACACACACACGCGCGCGCGCGCCCGAATAATATTAGTTTTGTTAGTAAAGTTATGTTTATGTTTATTTTTGTTTTTACTTTTTGTTTATATTTGCGATATGGGGATCTTATTTATTTTAAAACTTAAATAGTAGTTCTGATTTGTGGTTATTTGGCGGTTTCTAGTCCACTGTGAAACCTCGCTATGGAAAAGCGGTGCTTCCTAGCACAAGCAATATTATTTGCTTAAAAGGTATCATAATAAATTATTTTGTATTTTGTATTAGATTAAAAATAAATAAACCAAAATTAAAAAAATAAAAAAATAAGATTAGAAAAATGTGCAAAAACTTAAGGGACGAACCACTTGTGATTTAATATAATACTCTAGAAACTTGCTAAACTTTGGTTTAAAACTAACTTCTCAAATAAATGACATTTTGTAACAAAAAGCTTCACCTCGATATCAACTAGCGACACCTAGTGAGCGGAAGATTATAAACCCTCTTTAAACTGGCTCTATACCCTTCAGACCACGGAGCAAATACATAGCAAATATAAAATACTTTGTATTAGCTCCGTGGTTCAGACCGAAACACAACAGGGCAAGTACTGTATGTTCTACCACCTAGGAAAATATTTACTCGATTTTATTTCTTTATATCTTTTTTATAGAATAAGGTTGACAAACAAGCACACAGTCCACCTGATGGTAAGTGGATACTGTGGTCCATAGACATCTACGTTTGTCCTCGATTAAGAATCAAAATGCAGATACGTTGTCACCCCTAAGAAATAAGATGAAATGCCTCGTTTCCAGTAATAAAGGGTCTCCGGATCACTACACTCAGTATGTGAAACACAGCAGTATTAAGCTGCTCTTTTACGCTGGCATTCTGTGAGCACTTTCTCACTCCTCCTTTCCCGATAGAGCCGACCTATATGTGCTAAACCTTAATATAGCTGTAGCGTGGCTCTACCACGTATAAGGTTGTGTGAAAATTGTGCAAAAACACGTGTAATAAGGTGTATTAAATAAATGTGTATAATTTCATCATTCATTTATTACGGTCTTCCGAAATCCATTGCTAAACCTTCCCCATAAATTGTCATCTAGAGCAGATATTTAAATATGTAGTATAAAAATAATTAACATATATTTTTATATTTTTTGCTTCGTTTTATATTTCCAGGATATATTTCTACAACAAACGAAACATTGCATTCGACTACATTTGACGTAAATGAACCGTCATTTTTGTTATACTCCAACAAATAGAATACAATAAAATATGTCTTGAATAGCTACGCTGCAGGCCTCTCGTCATAACAACGGCTTTTGTAGCATTGTTGACCCGACTATTCGTAGAGATGACACAAATTTGTGGCCGTGTCTTGTGACGCGAGTAAACTTAAAAATTTTTATATGTAAATATATATATATATATATATATATATATATATATATATATATATATATGCGTGTATGTGTCCTAGAATCAGAACACTTCTAGACCTACTACTATTAGAAAAACAACTGATTCAGAAAAAAACCTCTGTCCTGGGAAGAATCAGCAGGAAACCCAGAGGGACTTTTATTACATTTATTAACAATATAATATACAACTAAGTATGAAAACAGTGATCACATAATTCTCATATAAAGCATTATTGAAGAGTTTTTGCTTAATTAAACATTTTAAACTTTTACATAGATAGGTCCTGCATATTTTCTGAGATTTTGTTTGAAACCTTTTACAAGATGCTACACTCTATTCAACATTAAAAAGTTTCCTCCTAACTAGTATTTTGGCCAGGTCCGACCGATAAGTAGACCGATGCTGAGAGCAAAGTTTAAATCTATCCCTGCATATTTTCAGGAGCAATACATCTACAATACAATACAATACACGGCTGTCACTACTCGTAGAAACTTTCTTACCCATAAGCTATTTCGAGAAAGAGTTTACGATAAAATTTTCTTTATAATTTCTCGCCTCAACGATAGAGGAGAAAGAAATTTACCGCCACGCACGATCACATCGTAGAATTTACTGTCACCAGCGTATTTTCCGGATCGATACGATTAAGGGACTTTCGACAAAAGAGCTACGTCTTCCTAAAATGTCGTTTAACTTATTACCTATATAAGTTTAATATTATAAATCGTTCCAACTACAGTAATATCGTTTTACTCTAAATTATCACCAGCAAAGATGTTGGTGATATTACATAATGATATCGCGACGATTTAAATATTAGGTTTCTGACTGATCTTATTGTGCTTGATACTTAGCTTAAAATTGGACCCGGTAGATGGCGCTGTTGTCGAAATCCAGAAAAATCACGTACGAAAACGGGACGCATGGCTATTGTATTTAAATATTTGTGTTGTTTATTTTATTTGTTAAGCATTCTGAAATACAGGAAATAGTCGTAGTTTGAGAGTTAAAGTTAAAGTAAAGTAAAGTTACAGCCTATATACGTCCCACTGCTGGGCTCAGGCCTCCCCTCATTTCTGAGAGGGTTTAGGGCAAGGAAGTGTTCGCCGCGCTGCCCAAATGCGTGTTGACGAACTTCACATGTCTTCGAAATATTTTTTTTTCTTATTCCTCAGACATGCAGGTTTCCTCACGATGTTTTCCTTCACCGCCGAGCACGTGGTAAATCAGCACTTACAATTGCAATTAACAATTTCATTTGTGCCGGCGGGGAGAGAGTTAAGGTTTAGTGAATTTGTACTCAAATAGAAATGTCAAATAATGATATTAGCATCAACGTTATATTTTCTCATAATTGTTCCTTTAAAAATTAAAACAACGCAATATCAATTTCCTATTTGCAATTCGTGGGCCACTGAAATAAAATTGCCGTAGCGTAGCATGAAGTTACTCCCAATTGGGCGGTTGGCTACATTTGCTGTTTTCCTTTGTAAAGTAATCTTCGTTTCACCTGAGCTCGACACAGCTACGGTCCGTTAGAGCCAGGCCCGCAATTTAATATTGTGCATTTTGCTGTACTTGCTTTAATGTTGGTGGTACTCGTATTTAGTTTCAATTGAATCAAAAGTTCGTTTTTATAATTATGAATATACCGCGAGTAGTTAGTACTGATTAGCGCTACACGCTACGAGTCGAGAAACAATACAAATATTTGTACGGCCTTTAAATAATAGTTTTGATTCTAGACGTTTGTTTATCTTTGATTTATGTATTTGAAATGCTTCCAATTTTTTATTATGAAGCCGAATTTCCTAGTGTGGATTAATTCCTTTTTTAATTAAAGAAAGAACATTTTAAGCGTTTATAGTAGTTTTAGAAACAAAAAATAAGCAATTAAAGTAATACAAGCCGCTTATAGTGGCGTGAAAATCCATAAAATTCATTATTCCATCTCAACGTAAGGGCGACTTAGGGTGCCAGTGACCTTTTAAGGCCTTCGATATATGACATACTGTTTGGTGTATACCTACTGCTACTTAACACAGATCATGAGGAGAAGTTTTAAAGTTGTGATAGAATACTGTAATCATCGTTGTTTCTGCCAACCGTGGACGGTAAGCTGTGTTAACATTCTCTATACTGCAGCATAGTAGTGTCATCTTGCAGAATAGGAGTGGGGCATTGAAAGGCTGCTACGATTTATCGCCAAACACGTCGATGGTACACGTCGGATTACGATCATATTATTAAACATTCGGTCGGCCTTTTAAAAACGAGTAAACTCGTTTCTTGAAGGTCCCTAAGTTATATTGGTCCGGAAAAATTGCTAGTTGTTGCCGATTACATAACGAAGTTGTGCGTGGAAGAAAATTTCTGGGAAATCGCACAGTACTGGATAATATATAGTATACATTTGTATGTATGTATACATATATACAAACGCATATTATATCATGTCATGCTCAGATATATAGATAGACTTATAATGTATATACAGATGTGTATTTATAAATATGTTTGTATTACATAGATAACAATCGTTCTTTTTCATGTAAAACAGGGCAATAAATTAAATTTTTATTAATATATTAATATGTTGAGAAAAATAATTTCTAATAACAAATACTTCCTCAAAAATATTTCTTAGTTTTTAATTTATTGAAGCTAAGAAGTTTCCACTTCTGACGTGCAGTCCTACGACTGACATTTTTTTTAAAAATATTTACATAGAAACTCTGTGCCTGTCATTTTTTTTTAGATTTTAAATAGGACAATCTGGACAATCAAAATAGGTCAATACGGACACGTCAATGAACAAGAAAGTTTCAACAATAGGAAAATGCTGAGGGGAAATACAACAGACAGCAGACAAAGTTGAGATGCGCGTTTGTATATCTATCTCTTGTATAACTGATTTCACAACAGATTATATATTCTGTCACAAATTTGAATCCTCCTGAATATTTTTTACTTATATAAACTAGATGACATTTTTTACCCTCTGGAAAAAAAGTGTAACATGTGAACGAAGTAGAAGCATATAGCACTGATATTTTATAAAAAAATAAAATAATTTTTTTAAATTGAATAAATAAATTAATTAAATTATATTGAAATTTAAATAATATCCACCCTAGTCTTTGACCTTGCGAAGTGACAAGGTCAAAGATGCCAATTTATTGTTTTATTGCCGTTCGTAAAGTAGAGTGAATATGATTTGAAA